CGCTTTTCTCGTTGAAATTGACTATAACTGGCTCTATGATGGTGTCGATGTGGTGGTCAAGCTGCCACATTTTTGTTTCTTCCTTCACAACATGACGGATAGCATTCTGCCAAGCTTCGGGCGTTACTAGCTGTATGGAAGTCTCAAGTAAAACCTTAACGTCTGGTAATTTGAAGGTTGTGTTATGGCGCGCAATATAACCCTTCACTTGAGCCCAGATGAGCTCTATTGGGTTCAGTTCACAGTGGTAGGGCGGTAACCGCAGCACAGTGACACCACATTGACGGGCCATCTCATCAGTCACGTAACTAATGTTCGCAGGTTTGTGCTGTTTAATTTTTTCATACAATTCCGCTTTCACACATGAATCGTCAAACGGGATTCCTTTTTCGCGCAACCATTGCTGCATGTCACTTTTTCGAGATCCCATAGTCGGTACACGTTCGGCTCGACGACTATGGTAGGAAGCATTATCCATAACGATCACAGAGTTGGGCTCAACTCGCTGAAGCACCCCTTGAAACCAGCTCTCGAAGCAGCTGGCATTCATTTCGTCATGGTAATCACCTCCTTTCTTAGAGACGAAAATCAAGTCACACTCTTCTAAAAAGTCACAATCGCTACCAATATGAGTTACGATCAATCTTTGACCTTTCCCTGACGGTCCACGAAGACCTGTTGACAAACCTTCAATGCTTGCTTGTCGGTTACTCACTACGTTTTTGTCTATCCAGGTTTTTTTAACTGTGTGACCTGCATTTACCCATGTCTCGTACAAATAATAGATTTTTCTGCTTTGTCGCCTATATTCAATCATTTCGCGTAGGTATTTTCGACGCCAGGCGACTATTTCAGGTCTCTCTATCAATACTGACTTCCGATTTCGCGTTTCGTAACGAAAATTAATTTCGTGCAGGGATTTCCTCATTACCTCGACGCTCATTTGGGGTATAATTTCATTTTCCTTGATCGCTGCATGTACAGCCTTGAGGGTTGGTATCTCATTCCTAAAGGAGAATGAATGTACGGTTCGCCTTAACGCCATTTTGCTATCGTCATCCAATTTAACGGCCTTTCGTCCCTTCAAATTAAACTTTGGATCAGTAGTAGCTCCAGTTTTCTTCTTTTCATGCACCACCCTGCGAATGGTCCACTCTGGAACGCCTGTCATACTTTCACAACGCGCGAGTGCATCTCCCTGCGACATAGTTCTGTTCAGATAATTGAACACGTTGAGCACGATTTCTTTCGCGTCCCTCTTCAGTGCTTTACGAAGCCGTCTACTTGTTCCCTGGCTTTCAGTACTTCCACACGTGCCATTTGTACTCTCCATGGTTAAGTATAACCAAAACAGTAACCACAGAAACCACAACAATAACAATCACACAACAATTCTTATAAAAACACACAATATGCGATCGCTCAACGAAACACGTTCCAATGCGTTGCCGACGCCTATGAGTCTGCCGGTCGAGGCGCGTCTTTGATTTCATTGGTTCTACCGGCGGAGAACAATCAGCCATTATTTCCATCTCTGTCTGTGCTGTTGACCACCGCAAAGCCACAGAAACGACATGTACGGTATAGAAGGTCTCCAGTTGAGGATATAATATTGTAAAGACTCAAGACATACGGATGTACTTTTTAGGCTAGTCTGATCTGATATCGATACACTAAATCCATTTGTCATGTACCTCAGTACATATCTGGTTATTCCAAGGGTGATAAAAATTACGCTGATGGTAATTAGCAATTACCTATAATGAATGACTCCATTAGCTAACTGATAGAACAAATCAGATTCAGGTCGTGATTAATGATCGTTTGATTTTATCAGTGGTCATACATGCTTACGTCATTGTCATCGTGATAATGTTGATGTATACGTATTGTACACGCACACATCTGGCAGCTAAAAATGATTGCCTACATCCATTGAATTACATTGGAAAATAGGGATTTTATTCATACGGCGAGCCCTTTTACAATAATGTACCTGAAACTACTTCTTAATAGTAACTGAAAGCGCACTATCTGATTCAATGAAACCGCTTAGACTTGACAACAGGATCCGTATCTGTTCGATTGTAAGGCTAATTAAGGTGCACGTCCACAGGCTAAGAGAAGCGAAGAGATAAGAGGCAAAACTCAGTTTCTTTACACCGCAGAGCCTCAGTATCTGTTCGGATGCTATCGAAATAGTGTTGAAAATCATAATACAGGAATAATCCTGCTCGCAAGCTCGCGTTTGGCTACGGTAGTCAAAACAGCATGATAATTAACCTTAAGTTCAAATATCTTGTGCTTGATGCTGACTAATTGGTTAAAGTACTTTGTGTTTTGAGTAACTGTTACGGTATGTTTATTCACTATAATCATTCTCGGGTGAAACAAAATCATCTTATTCCATGTTTTTTAATGTCGTATTGACAGGTGTAATATGGTAAGATCATACTGTATAATATATTAAGGTGCTTGAGGTGAATAAGGCCCACCTAACTTTCAAGCTAAAAAACTCAGGAATTATATCAAAAAAGTGAAAAAACGTAGTTCAGTAGGAAGCTTTTTTTATTTAAGGTAAGAATAAAAGATAAATAGTAACACAGAAATCAGCATGGAAATGAACATAACGATTTTTAAAAACTATTGCCATGGGCCTTATTAAACTACCACAGTAATTTAAGGCCCGAAAATAAAATATTTTTTTCTTATGAAATTATCAACAAAACTCAAAGTTTTTGGCATTTTTCAGCAGCTAAATTCAACAAAGAACATTTTAATACATAAACTTGAGAGATAATAACAATGGGACTTATACTAAGTGACATATAAATCCGAACACCCAGTTTAAATGGTTTTATTTTAATAAAATTTTGTATAAGTACTTAATGAAGCATAATAAGTAAATGATAACAATTTCAAAATGATTGCAGTGCTTTAAAACCCTTTGACCTTTAATAATGTGTGGATGCACCCTGATGTGCTACGCATTCTCCAACGCGCCTAGGCATGCTTCTGATCAGGTGGTCAATGCCCTCCTGTGGTATCTCATTCCAGGCAACCACCAACTACTCTCGAAGTGCCTCTAGAGTCTGAGGAGGACGTTGCAAATTGAGCGATCTCCTACCCATCATATCCCACACGTGCTCAATTGGGGATAAGTCGGGAGATGTTGGTGGCCATAGTAACAATGTCATTATGTTGAAAGAAGTCTATTGCGACTCTTGCAACATGTGGTCGGGCATTATCTTGTTGGAAAGTTGGATCTGCCAGGGTGTCAAGATAGGGTAAAAGATGGGGTTCTAGAACTTCGTGGATATAACGCTGCGCGTTCATGTTACCTCTGATGAAGATTAAAGGTGACCTGGAACCATAAGCTAGAGCACCCCAAACAGTGTGATGAACATGTCTTTCAACAAAAAACTGTGCATTCCTCCTTTCACCACGTCGCCTTCTAACCCTGGCACGACCATCGTGCATGCCTAAACAAAATCGAGACTCGTCACTAAAGACAATACTGTTCCATTCCTGATCCCAGAGTGACCGTTGTCTGCACCACTCAAGGCGATTACGTCGGTGTTCTCGACTTAAAGGGAGGCCAGTGTGGCCGGTATGAAATCAAGCCAAAACTTCTCATTCGTCGGTAAACACTTCGCATGCCAATAGGTCTTCCGTGTTCTGCAAACCATTCATTTGCAATGGACCTGGTAGTGGAGAAACGGGCCCTTAAGGCCAATAATCTTAGGCGGCGTCCAATGCCCCTTGCTCTTTGCGTACGGCCTTCTCGGAGCCATGCCTGACAACACCTAACCACAGTGTCTACACTTCTTTGCACTGCAATTGCCCGAAAAGAAAGTCCAGCTTCCCGAAGTCCCACTATACGGCCCCTATCAAACTCACTAAGTTGACGAAATCGTACAGGTCTCCGTACTCTAGGCATCGTAACCGATCGTAAAGGATGTCAAGAACCAAAATACGCCAACGTTGATTCTTTACTGCGGCTAAAATATTCATTTTTAGAGCGTTAGTGAATTAAAAAAAAGCAGTATAAAAACCGGAATGTCCAACTGATAAGGCTGAACATTTTTTCACTTGTTATTTACAGTAAGATTAATACATTCACCAACTTTTATTAAAATAAAACAATTTAAACTGGGTGTTCGGATTTATATGTCACTTAGTATATTAACCCCGGGGGGTAATAAGGCCACTTTTTAAGTTATTACAAGATTTCTTATTTTAAGGCTTAAATGACATATCCTAAATCAGACTTTGGATTGGGAACATTGGAAGTAGATTCGTTTAGAAATATTGTACTTGAACGACTAAGAGGTTCGATTATAGAATAGCCCATCAATATAGATCCTAGTTTATGAAATGATAACGATACTCATTCATCACAGTTTTGACAATAAAATAATTTTTTCTTGCAAGCACAACAAAACCAAGATTCGTCTGACGGAACTTTGCTTCTTTTTCTTTCATCACTATGAGATCATTGTTGGTTTCCATCTTTAGGTTTCTTTTCTGTTTCTTTGATTTTTCTTTTGTAATTTTTCATTGTTGTTTTCTTTGTCTTCTCGTTTTCATTCCATGCTTCTCATTCTTTGAATAGGTCTTTGGTAATTCGTTCGCCTTTATAACTAATAGCTTTTCTCCTAGGCTTATTTTTTGTTACAGCATAGTTCGGAGTTGGCAATAGCTCTTGAAAGGGAGACCTAAATTTTTTAGCTTTGAAGATAGCTAAAGGTATGTTGTTAACAGAACTGAAACTATCGCTGTCTTCGATTTTTCATTAAGAACAATATATATTATCCATAGGCAGTGATGATTTGTTTGATGCCAGTTTTGTTCTCTGCTGTACAATAGTCATTTCAGTATCTGCCTCGGATTCTGAACTATAAATCACATGTTGACGATATGTGATGTCTTGAAGTGGAAGGTTGTGGTGAGTGCATCAGAGTTTCTACTAATGATCTGTATCTTCTTAGGTGTTGTTTCTACATTACTAAAGATCTTTCAGATGACTGGACGATGTCTTTATGTTGTTGATTAGTATTAACTGTCAAGGCATGCGGATCTGTGGCGCTTTGAGCAGAACTTTTTTCAGGTGAATGTGGAGCTTGCTCTAAAAGAAATGGAGAATCACCATTGTGCTGAGGCTGCTCTTCTATATCGGAGTCGACTACAGCACCGGGTTCTGTTGGTAGCGGTAGCTCAGTTAAGATAGATGGAATATATGCCTCGTCAGGTAATATGTCCGGATTGAAAGGGTATAGGCCTGTAGCCCGAAAACCGTTTACTATATTTTCATGGGTCAAACATTGTGACCAGACCCTTGTGAAAATTGCATTAAAACTGGTTTTCGTTATGCGTTTTACCGGATTTTGGTACATGTCCTTCAGAACCTCCTGATCCCAATAATTTTCAAAGGATTTATTAACGGATTTATCGAGGAGCTGTAGCTCACGAGTTGTGTTACTTGGGAGGCTATATAGGACTATTTCATGACGGTCTGCAATCGTATAATCTAAATGGGATGTCGCTCTATCGAAGATTAATAAAATTTTCCATTGAACCTTATATTTTGCCAAATGTTTGATGAACTCAACAAATAATTCGGTTGTCATACTTCCTTTCGGTGACATTTTTACGAAACTGCCAGCTGGTAAATTGTCACTAAATTCAGGTTTCTGCATCTGCCCTTTAAATATAATTATTGGTGGAATAGCGGTCCCGACAGCATTGGCACACACAGCGATCGTTACATTTTGAGCATGCTCTTTTTGTCAGTCAACAGTCTGTTGATTATGAACAGTCAACTGGCATCCCTTTTCATCTATATTGTAAAGTTTTTCTGGATGCGTTGCTATATCAAGTTCGTCATATAATTTCTTAACTTCTTCAAAGTGGTGACTTACGATTGGTCTGTTCATCTTTTGCGCCATGGCTGGATTCATGAACTATGCCTTTCGTTTTGAAATTCCTGGATATCGCTTCAAAAACATATTTAGCCAGTCATTGCCAGCAAGGCCAACGTTTTTGTTAAAATTATGTTTAAGTTCATATTTTTCGCAAAAGATGAATGCTTGTATACGAATAATCTTAGGAGTAAGTGGCATCCCAATATTCGCGAATCTTATGATTCTGTTGACAAGATCGCGTTCTTGAGCTTCATTCATAATGGAACTGCGTCCTGGACGTCTTATTATACTCCCACTTTTTAAGTGGTTCCTCAGCGTACGTCTAGGTATGTTATACTTGACTTTGAAGTTGAGCCATTAATTTTCAGATAATGATTGTAGAAGGAAGATAAACCAAATATGTGTGTGAAAATAAAAAAAAATTAAAAAAAAATGTTACCTTGTTTTATAAAGTATCCTCCCGACAAGTATTTCAGTGCGGACCTGTATTTGATCGTGCGGTCTAGGAGCACCGGCATGCCCTCCCCTGTGAGGTCTTAAGTCACCTGATTCACGAGCCCTTTGTACTAAATTAACAAAGGCACGAGGGGTTGGTTGCACTCGATTGGGAAACCGATCCGCATAAATCCGTGATGCCGCGTAAATAAGAATCATGTCCACAAGTTCAGCATTTTCGTAGACATGTGCCATTTTTGATTTCGTTTGAGCCACGCAACAGACACCACTATTCACTCACGCGTTACCGACTGACACTGACTGAATACAACTGAATAAAATAATTGTAAAAACATCGTTCCAAATTCTTTCGCTTTTTTGTTTCCGATGCGATGAACCGATAAGGCGGATTATATCCGTTGTTGCCAAACACGAGCACATACTATTATTATTGAGACAGGGCGGTAATCAAACTTCCAAAGGGCTATAACTTTGTTACTTTAATTTTACCAGAAAAATGGCAAAGGAAAAAAACATTTCTTTTGATCAGGTCTACTCACTGTTAAAATAAATGACTCAACTTCGAAGTCACCCTGTATATGTCTGCTGCACCACGCTGCGTCAACTGCCCTCGTTCTACAGATTCCACAGCAGAACGTAAGTTTTCTTGCATCCACTGAGCTCGTCGTTACAAATTCGCTATTTCATGCTCTCAGCAAGATACTAAGATTGTAGCATATCCCTCTTCCTGCAATTGGCAAACTTTGTTGTCATTGTTGTCGATCGTTAAACATAGCATTCATCCTTTTCAGACAATAATAATCGACCTTTAAGCAAATCGCTTTAACTTCTTAAGATATATTCCAACTAACTTCCTTCCTAGTGTTTCTGACACTTTGGTTGAGAAGTCACGCGCCAGATAACGGAGTTTGCTAAGCTTCGGTCATATAGATACACCAGCTTCGAACTCTGATGCCGATATGAGGATCACAAGGTCGAAGTTCAGAAGTGGGCATAAACTAAACTTTAGAGAATTGATTTTTGAAGGGGATGGCTCCAATTGACATAAAGACCTGGTTCTGCAACTCTGAATCTCTCATGAAATATTTAGGTTTGTTACGGTCTCTTACTATTGGCCGTCGAGTAGGTTAACAATACACTTGATACGCAACGCTGTCATCAGTTAGTCCGTGAAGGGTTATGTTCGGCACATATTAGACCCTCAGAGGAAAAAATTAGCTACGGACATTTGTAACAAACAAACGGACCTTCACAATTAGTCCATAGTCCATTTAATAAGACGATAACTTTATTTTCTGTCCTACTGAAAGTATCGGCCATCTAACAACGATGCTGAACTACACCAGTTGACCATGCCATAAGCGCCAGCTATCATAATGTAACTCAGCGCTTCCAGATGTACTACAATCGCTTTTGAATGGTAACCTTAAGTCGGCCACTCACGTACAGTTTCAACTGACAGTTTGAACTGTTCAGTGAAAACTGTGCAGTTAAACTGTTCAGTCTGTTTGCACACACACATACAGGTCAATCTATCAGTTTTAAATAATGCATCGAACAGAGCAGAACGATTTGGCCGCTCTGGGTATACTTTGTGTAGTTTTACAAAAAAGTAAACAATGTAAAAAGCGTAAACAGTGGTGCAAGAAGTGGTTACAGAGACGAAATCAATCTTCGGACATCAGCTTATTAAAAGAATTGAGAGGGGAACCATTAGATTTCCTTAATTATTTGCGCATGACAGAAGCAGTGTATCAAAAGTTGCTTTTGCTGGTTTCTCCTTTGATTAAGAAGAAAGATACAGTTATGAGGGCAGCAATATCTCCACACGAACGATTAACTGCTACCTTGAGATTTCTGGCAACAGGACGGTCGTATGAGTGTCTCAAATTCTCGACTAGAATATCACCTCAATGTCTTGGTAAAATTATCCCAGAAACGTGCAACGCCTTGTACGCAGTTTTAAAGAAGTATATGGCGGTACGTATTTTCTTCTTAATTTAGAATAAGAGAAACGAAAAACAGTTGTTTTTGGCAAACTGCTTTTATTTTTATGAAAGGGTACATTTTCATGAATTGGCATCAAATTGAGAAAAATAAGTCGATGCTGTGTTGTCCTGAGAAAAGGATAATTGTCCACTTCCATCATTATGGAACTGTCTAAATGAACCTTGGCCGTATGTTGGAGATGGCGTGGGACATGGAGTGACATTAGGAGATTGACTTGCTAACGCTGTACATGAACCCTGTCCATATGTTGGAGATGGCGTGGGACATGGGGTAGTATAAGGACTCTGACTTGGTGATGCAGCATAACGGTATATTGGCGCTGTGTTTAGAGAACCCATTTCCGCCTCGAATAATATGTCACCTATCTTTTTCTCCGCAATGAGAGCCTGGCGTTTTTCCAAACCTCTCAACTTTACAGCAATAGTTTTTCCCAACAGATCAAAGCGGTCAAGTTGTTCCTTGGGTGTTTTGAAATGGTCACGCACTGTCATCAAGGTTTCTGTTGTGAGATCCTCATTTTTCTTTTGTTTTTTATTACAACCAGGTCTTGAGGTTATTGGCTGTTGAGATTTTCTTGACACTTCTTCAACAACCGCAGTTCTCATTTCTACAACATCATCAGCCTCTCCTGTTTCTTCAGTTGGGAGTGCATTGTCAACGGATTCCTGAAAAATAGAAGCAACTGTGTACTAGGATTGACAAAAAAAAATAAAACATCTAATTTACTTTAACATAACATATTTAGCTATTGTTGCCTGTTTCAGTTTCCCAACTCAGGAGAAAAATGGAAGGAGATTGCAGCTTCGTTTGAGGAAAGATGGCATTTCCCACACTGCATCGGTGCCTTAGATGGGAAGCATATTGATATAATTCCGCCACAAAACTCTGGATCGTATTATTATAATTACAAAGGCAAACACAGTATGGTTCTTCTGGCTATAGTTGACGCAAAATACCGATTCCTACTAGCAGATTTTGGAACAAATGGGCGGATTTCCGATGGCGGTGTTCTTCAGAATACAACTTTCTTTGAGAAGCTGGTGAACGAGGATTTAAATATTCCCCAACCTGATGATATTTGTGACAATTTCCAAAACGTTCCGTATGTATTCGTTGCGGATGATGCGTTTCCTCTCAGAACTGATATTTTGAAACCATTCAGGCAGGGACTATTAGATTCAGCAGACAAAGAGGTTTTTAACTATCGATTATCACGAGCAAGACATATTGTCGAAAACGTTTTTGGTATACTTGCTTCACGATTTCGTATCTTTCAGTCTCCAATTAATTTAGAACCAGAAAATATAGAAAAAATTGTAATGGCTGCTTGTGCTTTACATAACTTTTTGATTGAACATCAATCTAGTACATACGCTCCTGCAAACTTAAGGTATCAAGAAAATAGTAACGATGGATCTCTTATTTCTATTGGGTGCGATAGTTCACAATCAAATATGATTCCACTAAATCGTCAAAATCGAGGAAATATTGGCAATGACGCAAAAGAAATCAGACAACGCTTTATGGACTACTTCATGAATGATGGCGAAGTCCCATGGCAGAAGAATCACATTTTAAAAAACAAATAAAGACATTATTTGATGTTTACAAAAATAAATAGAAAATTTGTTTTTCCATGTATTCATAATATCGTGTTTTTCTTACCTCGCCACTTTCACCATCCAAATTTGAAATTGAGCTCCTTGAAATCTCTTGATCTTGCAAAAAATCAAACATGTCATAATACCAAAGTACCGGCTTGTAAATGCTATCCGTTGATGTTCCAGACTTGTATGATGCATCAACTTTCTTTTTCTCCTTCCGAAAAGCAGTTCTCAAACTGTTAATTTTATTGATCACAGACTTCTTGTCAGCACCAGGTTCAACTTCCACCAACTTTTGTGCCAATTTGGCATATGCAGCATCCTTCTTCGTACGATTATGATATTCCGGGCTCTTTACTTGCCAAAGACAAGGTTCCGATCTGTATATCGCAATAAAATCTA